TGAATTCAGCAAAACAAACATGGTTTTGTCCTTCCTTTTCAGCTGCAGGAACATCTTGAGGGGTCAGAAATCACACCAATAATCAGGGATAAAAATCACTGGTTTTTATCATACAGAATAAAACAAAGCACAATTGAGTCTGAGCTTCTGGCTCTGGAATTTCTTGGATCCTGGAGTTGTCCAAGTTGCTTTATCCGTCCAAGTGCTCCCAGCTGTGCTCAGCCTGGGGAGGCTGTTCCAGCTGCACCTTCAAAGCAGGTTTGGTTTGGTTTGGGTTGGTTCAGTTTAGTCTGAGATCAGTGAAGCTCAGTTTAAACAGGACTGGCTGAGGTGAGGAGCAGGAAGGAGAACTCCTGCCTGGAGTTCATCACAGCAGCATTTCCACAGTGAAACTCTATGCAATGCCTTGACAAAACCCACATGGAAATTCCAGGCACTTCCTCCCTCTGTTCACAAAGCTGAGCTTTAATGATCCTGTTTTGTAGCAAGTCCATGCTGAAATCAAAGTTCACCCCTCGGAGCAGCGCTGTCCTCCAGGGCTGTGTCCCATTACTCCCCAAAGATCCACAGGACGTTGACTCCCGACAAACCCAGATTTACACGCCTGCAAAACCCAAAGGGATCACAATTAGCATTTCTATTTAAAAGCTGCTGTTAATTTGATTTTAACACCATTCATTATCACCCCACCGTGGTGGTTTTGGTCTGACATCATTCCCATCTTGTTCCCATGGGATACCTACCCCAGCATCCCAGACTCCTTTGTCTTTATGATGTACAGGAACATCAGCAAGGTGTGGAACATGTTGTTCCTGCCCTGGAGCCACAGAGAGAGAGAGAGACAAGGATGTAGAAATCAAAACAAGTAAAAATTTCAACATTTTCCTAGTTTGGAACGTCCCCCTTAGAATTTGCACTGGTCTCAAGGGGTGACATCACCCACTGGGGACTGTGATTTGGGGTTTTACAGTAAATTAGCAGAAAATTAATGAGAGGAAGATCCTGCTTAGGAACAGGATCCTAAACAGACACCACAGGTAGTATTCAGCAGCAAAAATGTGCTGGGCATAGACCAAGCTGGACCAGCCTCTGTGTAAGTGGACAAAAATGTGTCTAGGATTTAAAAGGACCCCAAATCTTCCCTGGAAATGATTCCTGAGAGCAGGAGGAGAACAAACCCCCATACCTTGGGCAGGCTGTAGACGTGGCACTCGTAGATCAGCTCGTAGTGGGGTGGGTTGATGCTGCTCTGGTAGATGCAGAACACGTTTTCGTTTGAAGTGTCTGAATTAAAAATTAATTAAAAAGCCAGATTTCAGAGCTGCTGCTGTGATCCCAGAGGAAAAGAGCCCAGCACAGCCCAGTACCTGGTTTATCTGGAGTCTGGATGAAGTGCTGGGAAGTGAAGGTTTTGCCATCGGGATATTTGGGGTGAGGCGGGAGTCTGGAGTCCAGGTAAGTGCAGAACACGTGCATCAGGATCTGGGAAACACAACCAAATCTCACTGGAATGGCCCCAAACCCAGTAGCTTCCTCCCTGTGATCCAGGAGTTAATCCCAGTCTTTGATAATCTGTGATTACCATGCTGTCTTAACCCCAGGTTTAGGAGCAGCTTCATGCCTAAATCATCAATTTCTGATTTGGCTGAGAATGGCAGAGGAGCTCAAAAAACAGCTCTGCCCACCCCAAACCCAGCAAGGAAACTTCTCCCTTTCCCTCATGACAATCACTGGGAAAGTCTGGGCTGGCCACCAGTCTTAGGAATGCCAAAAATGTGAAATTAAGTCCTGGGATGAGCATCCAGAAAACCAGGGACAGCCCGAGGGCTGTTTCAACCCTTTCTGGAGAGGCCTTAATATTTTATGTGGGTAACATCAGCAAATTTTCTGTGATCTGGTGCTTTCTGTGTTCCTTATACCTAACAGGAGCTGTTTGACAGGAAGAGGTGGATTTGCTGGGAAAATATGCCACAAATCTTAAAGAATCTGCGAGATGCACCTTGGACCTCACAGCATTTTACTACCCAAAATTAAGAAAAATGTGAAATTATCTTTTTTTTTTTTTTCTAATAGCCTTAAACTAATGTCAAAACTTCTTTATTTGCACTTTGAGTGTCCTGATAAACAGAAACAGCTCAAGAGCTGCAACATAGCGGGACAATTCCAAATATTTAACCATGTTCCCAAACAGAAAATCAAACCCTATTTCAAGATTTTCCACTTCCAGCAACAGAATCTCTTTCATTATCCGGCAGCAAAGCTGCAAAGCTCCGTTTTCTGATTTTCCCATGTTCCTCAATGACTCCAAACCCTATCCCAAAATCCAAGCAATCCCTGGACTCACCGAGGAGTCGGTGGGAAGGTCCGTGTCCCATTTCCGGCCCTTGAAATCCCCTCCTCCGTTCCATCGGAAGGAGCTCATGCAGCCCCCCTGGGAAAGCTCTGAAATGACAACAGTCATTCACCTGCTGGGGGCTGCAAGTACATCTGAACAAAGGGGGTTTGTGGTGTAGAAAATGGGAAAAATCAAATTGGGAAAGCTCTGCAATGACAACAGTATTTCACTTCCTGGGGGGCTGCAAGTACACCTGAACAAAGGGGTTTTGTGGTGTAGAAAATGGGAAAAATCAAATTGGGAAAGCTCTGCAATGACAACAGTATTTCACTTCCTGGGGGCTGCATGTACATCTGAACAAAGGGGGTTTGTGGTGTAGAAAATGGGAAAAATCAAATTGGCAGGGAAGGTATTGATAAAAGGGTAAAGTTAAAGGATGATTTTTGTTTGTAGATAATGAAGCGATTCAATCCCTTTGCACCCTGAGCAGGCAGGAGGAAATTGTGGAGTGGTTTGGATTGGAGGGAAACTGAAGGATCATCCAGTTCTATCCCCTGCCCTGGGCAGGGACACCTCCCACCATCCCAGGGTGCTCCAGGCCCTGGCCTTGGACATTCCAGGGATGCAGGGCAGCCCCAGCTGCTCTGGGATACAGAACCAATAAGGTCACTGCAGGATGGAAAAGTCTGGAAATCAAACAGCAGCACCACGAACCTCTGATCCTTTCCACCAGGTATTCCTGGTTTGGGGTGAGATCCAAGTACTGCACCAGCGCGTTGAGGGTCGGGATGAGCGGGGCTTTCACCAGGGCCGCCTGTTTGAGGCTGCTGATGCTGGCTTCTGCAACACAGGGGCTGGAGCTGAGCCGGGCACAGCCAGGCCCCGGGGCTGCAAACACCACCCCACAAACACTGACCCCACAAACACTGACCCCACACCAAACACCGACCCCGCACCAAACACCGACCCCACACCACCCCCGGCATCAGCTCAGCGACACACAGCAGCACAAACCTCCCGCACAGCAGCCACAAGGAGCCCGCGGCAACTTAAGGGCAGCGGGAAAGCAACAAAGTGGAAACAAAAGCAGCAGCTACAGGGTTTTTAAGCACCTTGCAACAGTAGCTCTTGAGGAAATACTCCATGAACAACTCAAAAAGGAGTTAATTAAAAACCACCACATCAAATCCGCTTCTCAGTTAACTTAAAACAGGAGAAGCAGCTGCTGCAGAATCCTAACCTGACTTGATAAGCAGAACCCCAGTTCATCAGAATTAAAAAAAAATTATAGAATTTTAAAAAACCCAGTTCTTTCAAGAAGAGAGTGAATTGAAGGAGGAACTTGGGAAAGCACATAGCAGTGGAGACAGAGACTTTTGGGAGACACTGAGAATTTACAGCACGTCTGTCTTTGAAATGCTTTCTGCCTGATTAATAATCAATTATTATTAATGATAATTTGAGCTGTAAAACCAAATTTATGGGGGGAAAAAGAGGAATTTAATGATTTTACCAAGCATTGATATTTATAGAAGTATTACAAAAAACCTTCTCAGCTTAAAGAAATGCAGGAGGTGGAACAAAGACAATATTAAAATAGAACAGAAATTGAACAAAATTATTTCCCAGACCTAATTTATGTTATTCCCATTCCAAGGGAACTCCCAGGCTGCTGATCCTACCTCCAATCTGCAGTTCTGGACAGCCCATCCTCCTCAGCTGAATGCTCACAGACTCCATCTCTTCCACCAGTGGCACCAGAATGGTGTCATTGATCCACTGGGAAGGAAAAAGGGGAAAATTCAAGCTCAGAAGCAACAGGAATGTTAAATAAACCCCTCGGTTTACACCCTATAATCATCCCCACCACAACCACAAAGCAGTTTAACAGAAATACTGAAGCAAATCAAGGAGGGAAATCATTTAAGTTAATTATCAAAGCCAGGCAGAATTTAAGTGACTTTTTAACAGCTTCTGAAAAGCAGAAAATTCAATGTATAGGAGTTGGAAATACCCATGTGTATGGGGTAAAGCTTTTCTGGACAATGAGGAAAGGGGATTATGAATCAGCCATCCAAACTGACAGATCCAGTCCCTCTCCTGCCTGGCTCAGGACAGGAGGGAGATGATAAATTTGTGGGATCTGTGTGTGACAGACCACCCAACTCTCAGACAGGCCTGCAACCCTTCCCACCTCAGGCACAGAGGACATGGAGGAATTTTCCCATTCCACTTGGAATTCCCCAGAGAAGGACTTACATTCCTGAATTTTGCTGTCCAGGAATCCATGTGATCCAGGAGCTGCCGGTTCATTGTCACCCGTGCCCACACCTATGGAAAGGTTTATTAAATCCATGTGGGAACCTCACAGAGCCCAGTTTTCAGGGTCTGTGACAATTCCTGCTGCTTGCAAAAGAAAGGAGTTGGCCAAATACTGGAGGACTTCTTTCCCCCACATTTCTGACCCAGCTCAAATCCAAACCCTTGCACAAAGGTACATTTTAAAATCCCATTTCTCCCTTGACAATTTTTTTTTTGGTGGAACTTACCTCTTCTGCAGCCTGTTTGGAGCTCAGGTCAGCTTCATCCTTGTGTGCAGAAGGAGCCTGGGACCTGCAGGCCAGCTGATACTGGAACTTCCTCAGGATCTGTGCGTGGTCTGCCATGGAGCGGCTGTAGTTCCAAAAGGTCGGGCTGCTGGAGGGAGAGCTGGAATCTGAGCTTCCTGCAAAGATCCATTCATTAAGAAGTTAACTTCAATTATTGCCAAGTAATTCTGGATAAACAGCATGGGGACAAGAGGTCAGTGTGAGTGAATACACTGAAGTCACTCTGCATTTACCCTTATCTTGATTGTCCCAACCCAGGACAAAAACCTACTGGGTGTAGTTCATCCCCTTTATCCTTATCTCGATTGTCCCAATCCAGGAGAAAAATGTGCTGGATTCAGCCCCTTTATCTGCAATCAGCTGCACAAAATCCCCCTCTTATCAAGGTGATCTTATCTCAGTCCATTACAGCTACAGAGATAACCCATCAGCATTCCCATGCTCAGATCCCTTTCCAAGGAGTTACTGGAGGAAAATTGCCTGAAGGGGAAACAGTGGGGATCACTCACACCCCAATTCCTCACTAGGAGCAGGTCCTTTGCCAGGCTCACAGGTGATCAACAAATGGTACCTTTTTACTGGTACATCTCCCATCACAAAAGCCAAAACTGGACACAACCAACAGCTCTTCCCTTCCAAGGTTTTCCCAGCAAATCCCCCAATTTACCCAGTTGAACTCGGTGCTGTTTCTCCTCCTCGTTCCTCAGGAAGGTGTCCAGGGATTTGACATCGGTGATGCAGTCGTCTTTGTAGGTGGAATTGTTGTACAGAATGGGGGAGAATCGGTAATGAGACCTTATCCCACCGCTGTCCACAGGCCCCACACTCATGGAATAGGGAGATCCGTTGGGAGAGTGGCTGAAGCTGGAAACCTTGGGAGCAAACAAACCAGAAAAACCCTGAATTTCCTTTCATTGACAAGGTTAAAGCTGTGCCACGGGGCCGTGTGCTGGGGGTTACCTTGGCGTAGCTGCTGCTGGGTGAGTAAGTGGCAGAGGGGCTGTGAGAGGGGCTGGTCCCTGGCAGAGCCTGGAGCTGGGGGCTGTAGCCACCGAGGCAGCTGGCAGAGAACTTGGGGCTGGCGCTGGGCGAGCGGGACGGGCTGTAGCTCAGCACACACTGGCCCTGGATGGGCGGGGACGGCGTCAGGGACAGCACCCGCTTGGCTGCTGCCTCCCGTGGAGGGCTGCTCTGTGCACCTGCAAGGGAAGGACCAGCAGGGTCACCCAGACTGCCCTTTTTAATTTAAAAAGTATTTAAGGCAAGTTTAGAGATGTTAAAAGGGACACTGAAAACCCGGTCCCTGCAGAATTCAGATACAACCGAGACCCGTGAGCCCATGCTGGGGATTCTCTAATATTCCATCAGCTCCTCCACCTGCCCACTGCTTTCACCTTTACCACACTAATTCATGTCTCAATTATTAAAACACAATTAGCTCCACCTCAAATGGACATTAACTAAACCACAGCATGAGGAACTACATCGAGCCCAACTCCTGGCCCCGCACAGGACACCACCAAGGGCCCAGCTCAGCTTAGAGCTCCTGCCAGGAGATAATTCAGAATAAAGAACACAGAACTGGAGAAACAACAATAAAACAGTGAAAAAGGATAAAAAGAGGGTTTATTCCCCACCTGCCTTGCGCAGCCAGCCCATGATCTGATGGCTGGGACTCGTGACCAAGCTGGTTGGTGCTGCCGTGTAGGTGAAGTACCTCCAGAAATCAAACAGGGCGTTGAGGCTGAACAGGGCTGCCAGGGCAAATTCTGCAAGAAACGCACGAGTTTCTGTCATGGGCTGAACAAAAATTACACTATCGGCAAAACCAGGCTGTGTCTATTTAAAAATGATCATTATTAGTGCTGCCAGTTTGGGGAAGTATCCAAGATTTCTTCACTTTCTTAGGCAAGAACCGTTGGAGATAATTTCAACAGCATGGAAAGTTACGTTATCCATTTTAAAATTTAATTTTTAAAAGATTTCCAAAAAGGAAATCTCATGATTCTTGCTTCTTTCCACCCTATTTGACAGAGCTTAGAGTCGCCTCCTCTGAAACTGACTTGAATTGTTGTAAAATATCACCCCCCACCCAGAGCTCAACACAGCAGGAAAATAAATCTAAAGCTCCCTAAAGCCTTAATCCACACATTAAGAAAGATTTCACACATTAAATAAGTCCTTCCTACCCTTTCAGGACAGAGAAAAAGCTGTTAACACTCCTTATCTGCCACTAAAATGGATGGAGTTCCAGCAGTTTCAAGGGAGATCACAGAAACAAAACAAAGTTTTGGTTTAAAACTCAAACACAAAAAGCCACCTGCCTTAAAAACAACCTCCCAGCAATAAAAATGAGTAAAAAAAAATCCTGAAATTGGATTTAAATGTTGCAAGGACTCACCAATGTACCAGAGTGGAAAGCAGGTGATGTTGTAATACGTGCTCAGCAGCTTCCCAGTCCTGAAAAGCAAAACAAGAAGGGAGAATTTAGCAGAAATTCCATTCTGGGGGATATTAAGGGCTCCACACGGTGGAATCTTTGCTGGTTTGAATCAGATGGAACAATTAACTTACATTTCAGTGTAGATCATGCCTGCTACAGATATATTGAGGAACCCCCAGGCCAGCACCACCTTCCTGGTCTCAGCCTGTTTCCTCATCTTCACAGCCAGGTCAATGAGGGACGTGTCTGGACTCTTGTTCGGTGTCATTGTCTGTGAGAACACAGGGAAAAGGCAAAATCTCTGAGTTTTTAATCAGCAGGAAGATTTTCAGCCAGGTTTCTGTGGAACAGTGTCCATCTTTTCCCTCATTTTTGAATAAAAATGTCCTTCAAAAGGCTAAAGGAAAGCTCCTGCCTCCTCCGGGCAAGACCAGTGAAAATTCTCACTTATTTCAGTAGGTAACAGAGTATTTTCTATCATATGAAACCCACAGGATTTATTTTCTCCTTTATGCCCAGTAATACCTTACGTGAAAGACACAACCCTGTCACAGGCAGGCAGCCAACCTCAGACCACAAACCCTTCCCCAGACTTCTCCTCAAACCTCACCTTTCCCCCTCCCCAAAGCTCTCCTCTCCCTCACCACAAACCTCTTCGATGATCCTCAAATCTCTCTGATCACCTTCCCCAAATTTAAACTCTCCCGCTTCTCAAACCTCCCCTCTTTGCCCGTCCCAAGCCTCTGCTCCTCCCACTCCCCAAACCTCACTTCTCCCCCTCCTCACATTTCATCTCTGCACACCTCACCGTGCTCCTCCTCAAACCTCCCCTTTCCCCTCCTCAAACCTCTCTGATCCCCCCCAAACCTCCCCTCTCCCTCCTAACCGCCCCCCACCCAAATGTCACCGCTCCCTCTCCCCAGACCTCCCCGTCCCCCTCCCCAAGCCGGGCTGTGCTCCATGCCCATATTTCCCCTCACCTCTCGCAGACCTGTCCCGTTTCCCCTCACGCCGGGCAGGTTTTTCCCCTTTGCCCGCCGGGGCTCTCGGCTCCCCTCACGCCGCCGCGGCCTCGCGCTCTCTGCGCCTGCGCGGGCGCTCGCGCCGCGTTACGTCACCGGCCGCGCCGGGGGCGGGGCGCGCGCGTGCGCGGGTTTTGGCGGGAAGGGCGTGAGGGGGCCGCCATGTTGGGGGGGGCGAAGGAGCCCTCACGGAGACAATTTCGCTTTTTTTTTAAATTATAGCTAAATTGTTTAATTACATTACCATGTCTGTCAGACCGACACGTTGCCACAGTTAGTAGGTCAAATTTTAAGGGTGTGGAAAATGCCAATCACTTGTTTTTAGAATTTTTAGAAGTTTAATAATAATAAAATAGTTATAAAAATAATAATACAATTAGAGTAATAAAGTTTAGAGTTAGAACAATTACAAGACAATAAAAAGCAAAGAATTACGGATGTCTGGATGCTCTCAGACACTAAGCCACAAAAAACATACCTTGTGAACAAAGGAATAACATTAAACCAATACATTGTTGCATATTCATACATCCTTCATGGCTATGCATACATTATATTTAAAATAAGAACTCTGTTGTATGTCAACTGTTTCCTTTAATCCCCATGGTGTCTTCGAGTTTGAGTAAGGCCTGAAGAAATTAGCTTCTTCTGATGAGAAAAACATAAATTCCTTTTCTTTGGAAGATTTAGGGGTTCCTCAAAGCGAGTATCTCATTCCTAAAAAAACCAAAAAACTCCCCCCACATACAATCTCTATTTTAACATTATGTTGTGACCTAAAGCTATATTTAACACACTACTTAAGAGAATTAATACAGCATAACTTTCTAACATTACACATATAAGATTCATTGTGACATTTGCGAAAAGCCAATCATAAAATATGCATTTCTCACATTTGTCTTTTCTGATAAGGGCAAGTAACTCTTTATGGGCCGTGTCGCTGTTATCTCTGTGTGAAGAGTTTCTTGTTTATCATATCCCTTTTCTTGAGCTAGTAAAAACCATCTTACATCACAGAGTTTATATTTTAACATTATATTGTAACCTAAAACTATAATTAACACACTACTTTAAAAGGATTAATACAGTATTACAAAATAACCCTCCATGATACATACAGTACTCAATTTAATATTTGCGAAGAGCCAATCATAAAATACGCATTTTTCACATCTTTATAGCTAAATTGTTTAATTACATTGCCATGGCTGTCAGACCAACACGTTGCCACAGTTAGTAAATAAAATTTTAAGGGGTTTTAGGTCTATTTGCATGCTGTGCAAGTGTGGTTTCATATTTCTGCGTAGGTGTAACTTTGTATTTTTGTACAAGTGTTACCAAAACCGTGGGGATAAATAAGATTCCTAACACTCATTTAAAAAATGTCAAAGGATTTATTCTTGGCCAAGGTTTGTGTGTGTGGCTGACAAATGTCAGGCCTCCACATAAGCCCCAATGCAAAATTTTTCACTTGTTTGTATATTTTAACAGACAAATTAATGTTCATTGGTTCTAAATTTCATCACCTTCTTCATTAATTACTATTGCAGTAAATGTTCACTATTCATTTCCTCACTTTTTTTACTGATCTGGTCCAAATTATTTAGTAATTTTGTTATCTTTTTCTCAGACACAGAGTCTCCAGCCTTTCAGGCCTTAATTTCCTCTAATTTTCTGGTTCCTCCAATATCCTTGAAGTGCCATAAATTTAAGATCCCACAGTCTTCGAATTCTTTGGGTCTGTTCATTGAAGTTTGCCAGGGTTCATTTTAACAAACTTAATCGATGATTTAAGGATCAAAGTCATCATAAAGGTCAGTGGAGAAGCTTTACTAGAGCTTTAAAAGTGGGTGCTGCTCATAAATAATTAAAATAACCATTCAAAATTAGGAAAGTTATATCATTTCCAACACATGCACGACTTCAAATTTTTGTCCAGTGTAACTTCATATTTCTGCTCTGAAATGCTGAAAATGGAAAGGGTTGTGTGAGGATAACAAAAAAATTTGAAGGTCTTGGTTTCCTAATTTAAGGAAAACTGAGTTGGAAATGCATAGATCCATTGCAGCCAGGGATATTAACTGATATAAATCTCAGATTTTCCTGACATAAAGCCTAAAGATTTTCCAGAAACATCAAAAATATGGGTGCTGCTTCTAAAATTAATTCTAAGTGTACACGTGGTAAACCACATACTGAAATCCCTACTCATTCTTTATCCAGGGCATTTCCAAGGGGGATTAGGGACATGGAGGCAATCCATTGTCTACAGAAATATTAATTCCCTCATCAGTAATCCAAACTAAATTGGCGTTATAGCCAATTAACTCTGTTTTTCCAGGAGATGCCTTTCCAATAAAGCCCTTTGCCATGCCAGTGAAATATTTCTACCCAAAGGTGAAAAGTATCTGGGATTTTTTTTCCTAAAAATCAAAGGAGAGGCTACAACATCATTTGAGGCAGCAACAACAAAGAGTCTGGACTTTACAAAAAAGGACCGACCTCACTGAAAATTAATGATTTTTGAGGCTTTCTAGTTGTTGTTGTGGGGGCACAAATCCATTCTGGCCTCTTTCAGGGAACATTTGTGTCAGTACAGGGATTTTAGGCAAGGAGAGGGTTTGGCTGGCTGAGGCTGATTTAACCTTTGCCTCGCTGGGGTGGCACCGGGGTGCTCCTGACTCACTTGGGTGACCCAACAGCCTCGGCAGGGCGGCGTGGAGAGCCCTGCGTGTCCTCAGCCACACGCCCTGCTTGTTTCAGGGGGCACTTGGACCTGTGCTTGGTGACATCCTGGCTGTGGAGCTGCCCTGGGAGCTGTCTGAGGACCTGGTCAGTGCCACCAGACCTGCCCTGCTGCTGCTGGCTGTGGTGAGGTCTCTTCTCCCACCTTGCTGTGTCACCTCTGCCTTCCTGCTGCTCCCCTTCTGGACCCAGGGCTCAGCGCTGGGGGTGTTTTCAGCCTCTGAAAACCCCAGAATGGTTTGGGAGGGAAGGGACCTCAAAGCCCAGCCTGTTCCAACCCTCCCACTGTCCCAGGCTGCTCCAGCCCCAGTGTCCAACCTTTCCTTGGACATTCCAGGGATCCAGGGGCAGCCCCAGCTGCTCTGGCAATTCCAGCCCAGCAGGAATTCCTCATTCCCAAAATCCCACCCCAATCTCCCTTTCCCAGGGAATTCCCTCCATTCCCAGCTCTCCCAGCCTGGCATTGGATCCATCCCCACCCTGACTCTGCTCCAGGAAGGAATTTTGTGATCCGGGGGCTTCACTGGAAATCTCGGGACTCCCTTCCCTTTTCCATCCCCAACTTCCATAAAAATCCCTCTGGATGGATTCTGAGCCTCCTTGATCCCAGAATCCCAGAATGGTTTGGGTGGGAAGGGACCTCAAATCCCATCCCATTCCAATCCCACCATCCCAGGCTGCTCCAGCCTTTCCTTGGACATTCCAGGGATCCAGGGGCAGCCCCAGCTGCTCTGGCAATCCCAGCCCAGCCAGGAATTCCTCATTCCCAAGATCCCATCCATGGCTGCCCTCTGGCAGTGGGAGCCATTCCCTGTGTCCTGTCCCTGCAGGCCTTGTCCCCAGTCCCTCTGCAGCTCTCCTGGAGCCCCTTCAGGCCCTGGAATGTTCTGGAAGCTCTCCCTGGATCCTTCTCCTCTCCAGGGGAGCACCCCCAGCTCTCCCAGCCTGGCTCCAGAGCAGAGGGGCTCCAGCCCTGCAGCAGCTCCATGGATTCCTCTGGATTCACTCCAATTCCATGGATGCCTGTGGCTCAGAGCTGATCTCAGACCCTTCAGGACCTCATGGTCATTGCTGGGGCCCTGCAGCCCCTCCAGGAGATGAGGAGAGAGCCCAAGGTTTGGATTTAGATGCAGCTCCTGAAACGCTGTGGGTGGAGGCCCCAGAGGATGCTGATCAGGGCACTCAGAGCTTGTTGGGATACTTTGGATCCTGACATCAGGTTTGGCAGGGTTTCTTGGCAGCCCTGAAATCCATGTGGGATGTAGGATGAGTAAAGAAACAAGCTCTAATTTTGCCCTAGATTAAATCCTTCCTTCCTGTTTTGAAAGAGTGAAGCATGGCACGTCGTGCAGACAGTCAGCTGATTCTATTATGAAATATTGAAATCTGGAAGCCACAGGTGGGGTTTCACTTCCACCAGAGTTGCTGTAGTTCCAGAAGGAGGAAATTCCTGTGATGGTTCCTGTCTCTTGGGATAACTTTTTATTATTTGTTTTAAGTTGAGGGAGTGAAGATCTTTTCCCCCAGGGACTGAGTTTGGTTAAACCTTAGAGACCAGAGCACTCTCCTGGTGCCCCCAAGATACAGCAGTTACAAGATGATTCAATCCTACAGGCCAAAACAGGCCCAATCCCTGCCCGGGGCTCCCTTTGTTCCCAAAAACATGAGACAAAGGACTGTGAACGCAACAGGACACCTGTGGAGGAGTGGGGTGGGAGTGGAGGTGAGAGGAGACTCCTCAGGGAGGTGCTGACAGATGCTGAATGATACAGTTGAGATCTTTATTAAAAGTTTCCTCTGGGAATTGTCAGGGAGTTCCTTTCCTTCTTCTCCTGAGGTGGATTGAGCAGCTCCCCAGGAACTCCAGGTGTGACAGCAGGCTCAGCTGGCTGTCCCTCAGAAACCTTCATGATCTGGACAAACAAAACGTTTATCCAGCAGCCCTGTGGCCCTACTGCAGTTGTGGGACAGCCCCAGCTGGGTGTTCCCATGGGAGATCATTCCTAAAGCTCAGGCAGGGGTGGATAACAACTCCTCAAATATCCTTTGGAACAAGGAATGGAGAACACAAAATCCCCACAACCAAGAGTGGGCTGGCAGAGCTCTGACCCCCAGTGAGAGCTGGGATGAGTTCAGTTTGTCCCTGTTTTCCTCCACGAAAGGACACACGCATTTTTGTGGTCAGAGCTTTGGAACCGACTCCTCCTCCTCCTGCTTTGGATGTGTCAGTGGAAAGTATTTTTTTGGAGGTGAAATCAGCCTGCTGGTTGCCTTGAAGGCTCTGATAAATGTGAGAACTTGATCACATGGAGTGATAGGTTCCATCAGATGTGTTTGAGCTGAAAAATAAAGCTCTGTATAAATTCCCCTTTGCCAGGCCCAGCTGAACTTGCAGCAAACATGAAGCTGATTTTGATCTTCAGTGCCCTCATCGGGGCTTCCCTGTGCCTGGAAACCTTCGTTGGGTGAGTTACACTTTTGTGGAAAACCTTTCATTTAGGGCTGGTATCTTCTTGGTTTTCACAGTCTCAACTTCACAAAATCTGCTTGGGGCATTTTTATTTTTGTTTGTTTGTTTTTGTGGCTGATTGTTCTTGTTGCTTTGCTGCTCTGGTGTTTGAGGGAACTTTTCTTTACAATCATTTGGGATTTCTAAGAAGGGTCCAGCTGTGGAGTTGAGATCCTCAATTCCTGTTCATCCAAGGCTTGATTTTAGCTTGAGTTGAACCTCACTGCAAAAGCAGAGCTGAAAGACCAGAACCTGTCCTCAGATCAGAAAGTTCACAACTTTCCCTTTTTCCCCCCAGGTTTCTTATTTCTCTTTCTTCCTCTTCTTTCCTCCTTTCTAATAATTTAAAATCCTGGTTTCCAGCTATTAAATTCTAAAGGTCTTTATGTTGCATCACAAAAAATATCTTGTAGGGTATTTCTTCACAGCCTCCCTGACCATGGAACAGTCTTAATAATTAAAGATTATAAAATTATAATCTGGATAAATCCTGAAGTGCAGTAAGTGAGTACTAGATTCTAGTAAGTAAATCTGTGCATGAAGGTTTAAGGATTAAGAATAAAATATAATACAAATAATGTCCCAAAACTCGGGAATTTGTAAAGGCAGGAGGGGTTATTTTGATCATTTAATCCTGAACTGAGTTCTGGTGATTCCACTCAGCAGCTGTGGTGAATTCAGAGCAGAATCCAATATTGAGATAAAGTTTATAGAGAATCCAGTAATGAGTTATTAATGTGGAAAAGTGCCTTCAGAGCCGATTTAACTCAATTTAACAAAGAGATCTGATCCCTCTGCTGGCCAGGGAGAGGATCCAGGTGTAAACGTGCTGAAAAGGAGTCCCGCAGTAAATAAAACACCCTCTTTACCTCATTTCCACCTCGAAGGTTTCCAGCTGTGCAGTCACCGGGCGGTGCTCCAGCTGTTGGGTTTGTCACCCCAACCTCTGGAGTGAGGCACCTCCAGATGGATTCATCCCACCTAGAATGGTGCGAGCCACCCTCTGTTGGTGTCAGAACCAAAACAAATCCCACTTTCAGTGTTTGTTCTGCTCCCCAAACGCTGCTCCTTGCCCAGCTCAACTGAAATATTCTTTTCTCACAACTTGCTGCCAAGAAGTAACCGATGGATGCAGGATTGATCCTTTGAGTGATGTAAAACTCATCCACCTTGTCTGCTTGTTGAACTCTTGGGTGACACCAAATCAACTGATTAAAGGAGCCATTAACACACAATTAACACAGAATTAACGATCCCAGGAACAAACCAGTACAGCCAGCCCCCTTCTGAGACTGGTCCGAAAACACCGATTTATTGCAGGCACCAGGTTCTCCGAATCAAGACCAAAAATGAGGAGGAGGTCAAGCAGCTGCAGTTTCTGGAATCGCTGGAACACCTGAAGGTGGGTCATGGCCACAGAGGCGTTTTGGATTTGCATCTCCTTCACAACAGGTCAGGGTGTGAATCTGCATCTCATTTGGAAGGTTCCCATCACCCTGGGGCAGCTGCCATAAATCATTTTATTCTCTCAAGACTTTAAATTTGACCTGCAAGTTCGAGTAGGGGCCAGAACTGATATTTTTTTCCCTGCTGGGCTTACATCATATTTGAATTGTTAGATCTTAATCTCAGTGTTGAAAAACTTGTTTTTCCAGTGGGAATGGCAATGTTTTGTCTCCCAGAGTTATGGAAGAAATTTATTAGCTGGTTTACACTGTATTGAAGCAGGAAAACACAATGTAAAATTTTGGGTTATTACTGTTCTTATTGGCATTGGTGAGAATTTTTAACATCACTTTTTTAAATCACTGGCTGAAGAAATATTATATGAATAATTTAGAAATCAAAATTTAGAAAAGTCCTACTAAAGGAGTGATAAAAGGAGAAATTAAAACAATGGGTTTCATATTACCTAAGACTGGAATATGGAGTTTTTCTTGACATTTTTTCTAGTAAAAGGGAAAATAATAAAATAGTCATAAGAAACAATTAAAATTTCCTCTTGTTAGTGTGACCAAAGCCTAGAAGTCAGTGAAAAACTGACTCAAGCCCTTGGTATTTGTTGCTTTATTGAGTTTATCAGGAGAACTGATACGAGGTTGTGGTGAGGCCACAGAGAACATTCCAGGGCTCCTCTCTGCAGGAGCTGTTGGACTGGGGAGAAATCAGCATTCCTAAAACTCTGCAAGAGCTGTTTGCAGGATGCCTTCCCCAAACCAAATCCATTCTCCTTTCTCTCTCCAGCTGGATTTCTGGATCAATCCCTCTGCCTCAGCCCTCCCCGTGGATGTGAGAGTTCCTGCTGTCAGTGTCCAGTCAGTGAAAGCATTCCTGGAATCCCAGGGGATTGAATATTCCATCCTGATTGAAAACCTGCAGGTGGGCAATGCCACTAGCACTTAATTCTTTCATCTTTTGGAAACACTGATTCACAGTTTGGCCTGGGTCCCACTTTTCCATCCTCTGTTTTCTGTGGGATCCTCCCCTTATTTTTGTAGGCTGTGGATTATTCCTGGAAGACAATCCATGCACAGATGTAGGTGTTCTCTGAGTAGTGACATCAATAAACTCCACAGGACTCTTCTGAGGAATTACACATGGACTTTTGATCCCAGACATTTGTTTGACGCTGAAGTTACTGCTCATTCAGTAAATTCTGCTGAGAGTAGTTATGGATAGAAATCACCCACTTGGGCACTAATCTGACATTTCCTCACGAGCAGTAATCCCCAAAGGGCAGCTAACCAGCATTAACCCACTGCCTTTTCATTTATTTATCTTTTAGCAAGTGAAGCAGACACTTCTCACCATTTGAATGTTATTTTAGGATGTTCTGGATAAAGAAAAGCAAGACATGGCTGAGAGTGCCCAAAGGCAGCGCAGCACCACCTTTGACTTTGGTGCTTACCATACTCTGGATGAAGTGAGTACCTCCAGGGAAGAGTATTCTGATTTTTTCTGGTCTTTTTGCATGCTCTCTTCATTTCAACATCCTATATTAGGATCTCAAATGTTCTTGCAGCTTTTCTGGCATGTGGATTTGTGTTTTGTGGTATTAATTTTGTGCTCAGAACAATCAGCCAGAGCTGACCCTGACAGTGTTGATTAAAATTCCATAAACTCTCCTGCAGATCCTGTCAAACCCCATCCTTCAAAAGAAAGAGAAATAAAGGGATCTTGAAACTGGGAAATAGAGAACTAAAAAGAAATAAAGCTGTGGTTTCCTCATCCTTGGGAGTGTCCAAGGCCAGGTTGGAGCAACTTGGGATAGTGGAAGGGGATGGGCTTTCCAACCTGAATCAGCCCACGATTCTCTGGAAGGAATGACAGAGCACATAAATATGATATTAATGTCCTCAAATATGCTGTTAATGGTGGGAGTCCAGCACATCCCTCTGGCTGTCTCCAGACACTGGCAGGGGGCTCGGAGACCGTGGCATGAAATCAAAAACAGCTGTGCCTCTGATTTTAGCCCGTGGAAAAAACACTGCCAATTTTGTATGAGGAATTACAAGCCACAAGGATTTCAGTAGTGTAATAGGTGAATTGACACAGGGTGGAAAAGAAGAATTTTAGGGTTTTTTTCTTTTTAGAATGTAATTCAGGGGTACAAGATGGAAGAATCTGGGCATGTCGTAGCCTTCTTTCCTTTCTTCTTGTCCTCCATGTCCTGCTGTGATTGTGCCACTTTTCTATGGGTTTAAGGCAGTGACTTAAAGTGTCTAACATAGATGATAGGTATTGGTGCATTGTTATAAACAGACTGTACATAACTTTTGATAGAAAAGGTAAACACTGCCCAGAGGGCACCCAGACTGCCATGGCTTCCGTACTAGGCAGACCTCAGCAGGTCAGAGAGAAAAAATTATAGACAAAGGGAAATAAACAACCTTGAAAACTCATCTTCACATATTCCAGACCTCTCCTTTGGCTGCTGGGCTAGGGGAACAAGGATTCTCACACTGCTGGGGCCTCACCAGCTGACCCTGTTATTGTCCTCATGGCCTTGCATTTCAGATTAATGCAGAACTGGACAATCTTGCATCTGAGTACAGCTTTGTGCAAAAGATCCAGATCGGGCAATCCTACGAAAAGCGGCCTCTGTACGTGCTGAAGGTACGAGAAACACCATGGAATGCATCCATAGGGGTGAATGACAGCACAGCCCAGAGCTGTTATGGGGTGGTGTCCAGTGAGGGGTGTCAGTCTGAAATGCTGCTGTTTGATTTCCCAGTTCAGCACCGGAGGCTCCAACCGCCCGGCGATCTGGCTCGACGCCGGCATCCATTCCCGCGAGTGGGTCACCCACGCCAGCGCCCTGTGGATCGCCAACAAGGTTCCTGCAGCAGGGATTCATCTTGGGCCCGTCCTGGGAATGTTTCCTGCTGTTTCAGAGGGTATCACCCCTCTGTGTGTTTAGTTAACTCACCTCCCAAAAGCAGCTGACTCCCTGAGGATGTGGTGGCTGCCTCGACCTGGATTTGGGAATCTCTGTCCTGTTAGAACAGCTGAGTTTAAGCAGACAAAATGCAGTGGTTCAGGTGAAATTGTTACACAAATAACCAAAGACTTTGAGATTGTATTGCTGCTTTGCTTTGCTTACCCAGAAAAAAGCAGTGGGGTTAGTTTTCTTCCACAAAATGCCCAGACCTCCAGCTCTCTATAAATGAGGATTTAAATCCTGCTGGAAATGACTGAGCCACTGGAGAAGCCACAGGATCACAGAATAAGTGGGTGGAAGGGGCCCACCAGGATCATGGAGTCCAACTCCTGGCCCTGCACAGAACCATCCCCAGGAGCCACCCTGTGCCTGAGAGTGTTGTCCAAACACTCCTCTGGGGCAGGGAGGAGAAAATTTTGTTATCCTCTCCCATTTTATTCTAAAGACCTCCTGTCTTCAGAATAAAATAATAAAACAGATTCACTGCTCAGTTCACATGTATAACACGGAGATGATGGATGCTCCTTGTTTCCCTGCCCCAAAACCCAGCCTTTCCTCTGTCCCAAACAAGGAGGGATTGAACATCTGGGAAGGAATTACTCTGCTAAGCAGGGTGTGCTCTGTCTCTGCCTAGATTGCCTCTGACTATGGAACAGATCAGTCCATCACCTCCCTGCTGGACAAGATGGATCTTTTCCTGCTGCCGGTCACCAACCCTGACGGATATGTGTACACTCACACCTCGGTGGGTCTGAGCTCGGTGGAATTCCTGTCTCTTCCAAGGAAGTAATAAACATGAGGGAAGGGGCTCCCAAAGTCTTAATGCTGTGAGAGGAGTTACCAAAGAGTTGGGCAGACAAAGATCCTCATCATTTGTCTAACCCATCCTAGCCCCCCGTAAATACCCCAGTTTTAGTAAATACATTTGATTTTTGACCATTGGCCCATCTTGGCAGTCCAAAATACTCTTGGGATCATGCCTAGGATCAATCCTCCATGGATGGCAGCTCTTCCTGAGGAGCAGTCTTGGTTCCAGCCCCCAGATTTGCTCCCTTCTGAGCATTTCTCTGTTGTAGAACCGCATGTGGAGGAAAACCCGCTCCAAGATTCCCGGCAGCATCTGCGTCGGAGTTGATCCCAACAGGAACTGGGATGCAGGTTTTGGAGGTAGGGATAAAGCTTCTGGATTCTGGATCCTGGTACACAGAACCAGCAGCTGCCTTTATAAAAGGGGATTAATCACCCTAGAGCACCGGATGAGGCAGCATCATGGAATTATGGAATCACAGAATGCTCTGGGTTGGAAGGACCCATAATATTATTTAGTTCCACTCCCTGCCATGGGCAAAGCCACCTTCCACTATCCCAGGTTGTTTCCAGTCCCATCCAACCATAGAATACCCCCAGGAATGTGGATTCTTGGGCAACCTGTTCCAGGTTGCATCATCTCAAAGCACATCCCTTGAACATTCACACTCTGTCTGCTGTTTGAGCATTTATCAGCGTTTAAGGCCTTGCTTTGGAAAGCCCAGCTTTGTGTGGGTCTGCCTCGACCTCCCAGGAATTCCACTCCTCACGGGTCTGTTCCCTCCTTGCACCACCAGGTCCTGGAGCCAGTAACAACCCCTGCTCCGACTCCTACCACGGGCCCAGGGCCAACTCCGAGGTGGAAGTGAAATCTGTTGTCGACTTCATCAAGAATCACGGAAACTTCAAGGCCTTCCTGACCCTCCACAGTTATTCCCAGCTCCTGATGTATCCCTATGGATACAAATGCACCAGGCCAAACGATTATGCTGAGCTGGTGAGACAGCAGGACTTGGTTTTACCTTCCTCTCTTCTGTCCAGCTGCCTTTTCTGTACTTTCCATACTCTTCCCTAATGACAGCACCACAGCTGGAATAATATCTCTGAGGCAATGTGGATCTCACAACCACAATTCCAACGGGAAAGACCTCTGGAGGTCTCTGTTCTAACCCTGTGCTGGAAGGGCTTTGGCGTCAGAGCCAGTTTCAGTCTGAGTTTGGATTAATTGTTTTGATATTTCTAAAGAAGAATTCCACAGCTTTTTCAAGCTCGTCCCAAAATTTCCCTAATCTCACGGGGATTTTGTTTTATCCTAATACCTAAATGCAGATCCCCTGTGGTAATTTGTTGCCTTTTTCCCTCCTTCACAAAGAACTCAGCTCTGTTTTCCATCCAACCCCCATTATGTAGTTGAAGTGAGCACAAAGTTGACCTTGGAGTATTGGAAGATCCCAAGTGCCTTGGGAATTTCTGGTATCTCCTGAGCCTTCCCTGGACAAGGCAGTGAGATAAACAGTGGATGAACACTTACAGAACCCGCTGGAAGTTCATCCACCCGCAGTGGCCCCTCCCAGAAATGCTGTGGAAGCTGTGGCTGCTGTTGGTGTGAATCATCTCCAACGCAGTTTGGAGATTTCTGGTGAAATCCTAGTGTTTAATCTCAGGAAGTGTGGCTGCTTCTTTATTCTCCTTCATCTTCTCCCCTCCAGGAATCTCTGGGAAGAGCTGCTGCCAGTTCCATCCGCTCCCTCTACGGCACCACCTTTCAAGTGGGCACCATTTGCCAAACCATCTGTGAGTATTTGGCCACTCAGAGCTTTTAGGGGCTGTCCCAGGACACCAATCCCCATCCTCCCCATAGGGGCTGTCCCTTGTGAAAGCCACAGCGCTCCTGTGCAGTGACACCACCGCTCACACACCGGACCTGAGCGTTCCCACCCAAACCTCATCCTTGTCCTCCAAAATACAAACAGCAGGACAAGAGAGCTCCACCATTCCTCTGCTCCCCTCGCTGGATCATCTCCCTTTCCCTTCCAGACCAAGCCAGTGGAGGCAGCATTGACTGGAGCTATGACAATGGGATCAAATATTCCTTTGCCTTCGAGCTGCGGGACACGGGGCGCTACGGATTCCTGCTGCCCGCCACCCAGATCGTCCCCACTGCCAGGGAGACCTGGCTGGGCCTGAAGAAAATCATGGAGCACGTGAGGGACAACTCCTCCTGAGAGCTGGGCTGGGAATGAGCTCTGCAGCACCAGCTCAAAAATCCTCTGTGTGCTGTGATGGCCGTCATGAGAGAAAGGGCTCAATAAACCCCTGTGCAATCCCTCCACGGTGTTTGGTGCATGTCCTGTTCCTTGTGTGGGACACATCCCTGAGGAGATTTTGGGACGCAGCCCTCCCTGCCCACACATCCAGTGCCACCCCTGCCATGGCAGGGACACCTCCCACTGTCCCAGGCTGCTCCAGCCCCAGTGTCCAGCCTGGCCTTGGACATTCCAGGGATCCAGGGGCAGCCAAAGCTGCTCTGGCAATTCCAGCCCACCCAGGAATTCCTCATTCCCAAAATCCCACTCCAATCTCCCTTTCCCAGGGAATTCCCTCCATTCTCAGCTCTCCCAGCCTGGCATTGGATCCATCCCCACCCTGACTCTGCTCCAGGAAGGAATTTTGGGATTCGGGGGCTTCACTGGGAATCTTGGGACTCCAGGAAGGGTCTCCCTTCCCTTTTCCATCCCCAACTTCCATAAAAATCCCTCGGGATGGATTCTGGGCCTCCTTGATCCCAGAATCCTGGAATGGTTTGGGTGGGAAGAGACCTCAAATCCCATCCCATTCCAATCCCACCATCCCAGGCTGCTCCAGCCTTTCCTTGGGCATTCCAGGGATCCAGGGGCAGCCCCAGCTGCTCTGGCAATTCCAGCCCAGCCAGGAATTCCTCATTCCCAATTTCCCATCCATGGCTGCCCTCTGGCAGTGGGAGCCATTCCCTGTGTCCTGTCCCTGCAGGCCTTGTCCCCAGTCCCTCTGCAGCTCTCCTGGAGCCCCTTCAGGCCCTGGAATGTGCTGGAAGCTCTCCCTGGAGCCTTCTCCAGCCTGGTGTTAACCAGCATAATCTAGATATGGGATTGATTAAAATAATTTCTCTTAACAAGCCTTAGGACCCTGCCAGGCCCCTGACCACTGTCCTCAAATGTACACCCCATATATTTGGCTGCCCCTTTTCTCCCTCTCACACATTCCCAGTGGACATGGTTGGAAGGAAGATGGAGATGGGAGGACACCTCCCCTGATCCAGCACCCAGTCCCTTGGGAACCCCTCTTTCCATTTCCATCCTGCAAATTTCTTGGGGATTAAGAGCAAAGAGCTCAGGAGGCCCTGAAGGATCAGAGATTAGTTCTGGCTGCTGCTGCTGTGGTGATTATCGAGTCTAACAGGTTTATCTTGGTGTCTTGTGACCCCCCAGCAGCTGGTGAGTTACTCACCCTTGGGAGGCTGGCAGGAGAGCAAACAGCACTGATGTGTCCAATCAAACCCTGCAGACTCGGCACGGAGCTGTTGGCAGGAAAAGGGGAAGGCACAGTTGAGGGAGGTACTCCAGGGGGCTGGTTTTGGGTTAAAAGCAGCTGTTTTGGAAAACAAACCCATGCTTAAGGCAGCCAGTGCTACCCACATGTCTCTGTCCCCTATGCTCACGGCCTTCTCCAGTGGCACCTGCTTCCCAAACTGACCCAGCTTTCCAAAATCCCATCCTCTGCCTGGTGATAAAAACCACTGATGCTAAATTCCAGGGACAGGGCACACAGTTGGCTCTTGTCTCCAGAGCAGGAACTGCAGAGCTTGAGGAGCCTCACCTGGGAACGTGGAACTGTGACTTTGTCCTGGCGTGGAAGCTCATTCCAACCATCCAGGGCTTCAGGCCCCCTCCTCTTTAAGTGCCTGGTGTGAGGAGAGCTCATCCTGGTCTGGAACCCTAATTCCAGAGAGATCTGGAGTCAGAGCAGTGGATGCCACCCTGAGGAACAGGAGAGTGTGTGCCATGGTGGGGCGAGGAGGGAGATGGGCTGGAGATGACACAGCTCTGGGGTAGGGGATTTAACAGGGACCTTCTCATCCCAAGGAAGGAGATTATTGAGGAAACAGCCACGTTCTCCACCACAGAGAGTGATGGGAGAGACAACAGCATCAGCTGGAATGAGGGAGAACCAGGAGGGACATCAGGAAATGCTTTTCACCAGGAGGAGAAGCAGCAGGACCTGGTGCCAGTGGGACCGTGCAGCCTCCATCTCTGGAGGGCTCCCAGTCCAACAAGGAGAGCTCTGGTGGGTCCCCAGAGCATTGGATACAGACCTCCCATGGTCCCTTCCCACCTCAACCACCCCAAGGAATATCCTGGAACCACCTCAGCAACAGCACCAGTTCTGCACTGCAAAGCCCCAACAGACCCCAGCACCTTCCCACGGCACCTCCTGCTCCTGGTGCAGCCAGAACCCCCTGGATTTAATGGAGAAAAACATGGTCAGAGGATGTCAGCTGTAAAAACCTGCCCTGGGAGGTGCCTGCCAGCCTGGGAACACAGCCCAGGAACCTGGAGCATCCCTGACAAGCGCGGTGGGAGCTCAGGGGCAGCGCAGATAAGGCCCAACAAAGGCCCTGCTGTAACCTGCAGAACAAAGACGCTGCTTTAACTGGGGAACAAAGACACCTCTGACAAACTGACCTCCTGGGATAGCCCCAGTCAGTGACAGCTGCTCCAGAGCCACTGCTGACACTGAAAACATAAAAATAATTCATTTTCTACCCTAAAATGAGCCTTTCTGTCTGAGCATTACCCCAGATGAACGTCCTTGTGCACCTCCGAGCTCCACGACTTCCATCAGCTTTGAAGTGAGATTTCATCCACCATCAAGGGACCCCACTCTCCTGGGAATGGTTTGATGAATAATTTGTATAATATATTTTACATTTCATATATATATATCTATATATATATATATGAAACATAGATAGATCTATAATGTATGCATAAACGAATTAATCATAAATAAGTCTATGTTTAAATGCTTCCTTTTTCTGCGAGTAACTTTGTAGTAGCTTGTCATTACACATGCATTACTAATCATAATTAGGATTGACTTACTCATAGCAATGTGTAATGAAGAAATCCATGGAAACAAAGAGGTGTTTCCTTGTGGTTTTGGGGCTCCTGTGACCACGCCATCCCCACCACCCCACGCCCGTGGGTTGGGAGCCGCCCGTGCCCACGGCAGCTCGGAGCTGGGAGCACGGACACTCATCCAGGGCCCACTCACCGAGGAAGACGTTATCAGATCCTCCCTAATTTGGCTGCTCTTGTGTTGACTTTGCCAAATAAAGCAAACATTTGGGCTGGCGGGAGCCCTTCCTGCCTGCTCTGTTTGTCGCTGCCGACGCCGCACGGACGGACGGCGGATGCGGCCCTGGTGAGGAGCTCCGGGAGGGACCCCGACCACCACCGAGGGGGTTCTGTCCGTCCTCGGGGCTGTGCTCTGCTCCCACCCACCATGGAGACCCTCCTGGTCTTCCTCGCCCTCCTGGGGGTCACCAGCACCGAGCAGCGTTTTGTGGGGTGAGTCCTGCTGGGGCAGGGGGTGGGATGGGGATCCAGCTGAGAGAGGTCTGTCCCCACCACTGTCCTTCAGGGTCAGCCAGAAGGGTGACAGCCCAAAGGGTGGAAATTCGACAGGGTTTTCTGCCACCTGGGAAAGATTTGGTTTCACCCCAGGCTTGGAGCGTGCAGCAGGTAGAAATTAGGGAATGCTGAAGCCTGTGGGCATCGCTCCAAGCTTTGCCAGGCTGTGGAATCCCAGAGGATGTGGGGAACATGTGTATGGCTCAAAGACGATGGCTGTGGAGCCATCCAAGGATTGTCGGGAATAAAACCCAAGGACTGCTGGGAATAACAGCCAAGGATTTCTGGGAATAACAGCCAAGAATTTCTGGGAATAACACACTGTGGGAAAGAACAAGATGTGCCTGGAGAAGGAGCCCTGTGGAGGGAGGCCAGCACTTTTCCAGGATGAACATCCTGGTTGCAGCTCCTGGAGATAAGAACAGCACCAGTGTAGGAATGAGGCTGAGAAGGGGGCATGGAATGTAGGGGGGGTCAGGACAACCCAAAACTCCCAAAGCTTCCAACCCATTTCCAGAAAGGTCTGAATGAACGGACTGGCCATAAGAACTAATTTGTAGAGAAACTGGGAATTCTGTGTTCAGAGTAGGGAAAATCTATCCATTAAAAAGTACCACCAGGATGCTGGACATCCCACCAGCTGGACTGACACTGGAGCTAGAGCTGGTGATCTCATGAGCCAGGGAACGGATGGAGCTGTGCCAGGGGGTTTAGGTTGGATATCAGGAAAGGTTCCTGATCCAGAACAAGGATCACTGCACTGCCCAGGCTCCCCAGGGAATGGTCACATTCCCACGGCTGCCAGAGCTCCAGGAGTGTTTGGACAACACCCTCAAGGACAAGGTGGGATTGTTGGGGTGTCTGGGCAGAGCCTGGAGTTGGATTTGATCCTTGTGGGCCCCTTCCAGCTCAGGATATTCTGTGATGTGACCAACCCACCTTCCTCCTTGCATTTCTTCCTCCTCGGACATGATGCCGTGGTTGAGGGATCCATCCAGACTCCCATCACTCTCCTTTTGGGAAAATTCAGGAGGATTTAATGCCTGCCTGAGTCGCCCAGGCACAGAGTGGAAGTTGTTATCACCTTGGGGAGCTGGTTAAACTGATAAATGAGAGTTAAAAGGATGAAAGGTAAGAAAGGAGAAAGATGAAGGAATTTTGTGCCATTTTGGGAGTGGCTTTAAGCACTGCCCAACAGGAGAGGTTGGAGGTAGAGGATTGATCTGAGATGAGAAAACCTCTCTCCCACAGAACATTTCCTCCTTTCCAGGGGCTGTGCCTGTCCTTGGGAAGCCCAGCCAGGCTGGACTGGGACCTTTGCTAGGGAATACATCCATAGGTAAAGAACATATCCATGGAGATATTGCCCAGCATCTTGGGAGCTGATGAAACAAGGCTGGAGATCATCTCAGGCTCCCAGCACTTGTTCTTTCCCCATCATGGCTGCTCTGAACCTGCATTGTTTTATCTCAAAACCAACAACTGATGCATTTTCCAACCCTCTGAGTCAGTGTGGAGGTTCCCCAGCCTCCCCCCAGGCCAGAGCCCCCTCTCTGTGACCCCTCTGCCTCCCTGCAGGGACCAGGTCCTGCGTGTCACAGCCAGGAACGAGGAGCACATCACTCTGCTCAGGGTGCTGGGCGAGCAGGAGGAGCTGCAGGTGAGCTCTGAGGGGTCCTGAGCACCCCCCTGATCACAGACCCTGTGCAATCCAGGTCTCCCTCCTTCTTTTGCCACCCAATCCAATTTTCCTCCCCATTTTTGAGATGTATAATTTAGAACCATATAAATATGAATGTAACCTGGGGCTGTTTGAGCTCAGAGCTCCTGTTTCCTATGAACATCCCACAAAAACTCAAACAACTTGGGCTGAAACATTTCTGTAAATCCCTCTGCAGACATCCATCTGTGGCCCAAAATTTGTCCAAAAACCTTTTTAGATCTTCCATGGAAATTCCTGTGAGACCCCTGGAGGTGTTGGGGAGCTCAGTGGATGATCACCAGCGAAGGATGGGGCTGAGTTCTGCCTTTCAGCTCAACTTCTTCTTCCCAGGTGGACTTTTGGCGTCACCCCAACAGCCCCAGCCACCCCGTGGACCTGCGGGTGCCCTTCCCCAGCCTCCAAGGAGTCAAAACATTCCTGGATTCCCATAATTTTTCCTACAGCATCATGATTGAGGACGTACAGGTAACAGCTATGATGGGAACAGGATGATCTCCTGCAGCTCAGCCCTGAGAGAAAATCCAAAAAGTTGGAAATCAAGAAGAAAAATCCAACCCCTGGAAGGCCTTTTTTATCTTGGGGTTTTTTTGCCTCCTAACCAGGAATTATTGGATGAAGAAAAGGAAAGCATGAGGAGGTCCAGGAGGGTAAAGAGAAGCTCCAGGACATTTGATTTTGCCTCCTACCACACTATAGATGAGGTACCTTTCTCTGCAGAGCATTGGCTTTGTCCTGCTGGGGTCACATCCATGTGCTGAAGGTCGTGGTGAGTTCTTGGCGACGGTGAGACCTCCCTGGGACAGGTTTCTCCTCCTTGGTGGAGCTTTTAGCCGAGATGGGAGACTGGAAAACCTTCCACATCCAGTGTGGCCACTCCTGGAATCTCTCACCCTGTGGAAGACATTTTCAGCTTCACTTTGGGGGTGCTTGGAGCCCAGTTTGGGACTGGTGGGGGCTGTGGTGGGGTGATTTTTCCCTCATAATTCATTCTACTTTTCCAAAAACCTTGTGATGTGCCTTTCCCTGCTCACACAGAGCCCCAACCACCTCGTGTTCTCCAGAGAAGCATGAGGTCTTCTCCAGGAAAGCACCAGATCTCCCCAGGGAAGCACCAGATCTCCCCAGGGAAGCTCTGCTTGTTGCATCCTGTGCTGGATGCCCTCAAAGCCAAAAGGTGAGACCCAGGCTGAGCCTCGTGACCCAGCAGCTCCTCCTTGCAGATCTATGACTGGATGGATGTCCTGGTGGAGGATCATCCCAGCCTTGTCAGCAAGGTCCAGATCGGGCAGAGCTACGAGGGGCGGCCCCTGTACGTGCTGAAGGTGGGTCCTGGGGCAGCCTCGCCCTGAAATCCCCCCCAGGATGAGAAGTGGTGCCAAGGGAGCCTCAGGGTGGACAGCAGCAGGAATTTCTTCATGGAAAGGGTGTGCAGGCCTTGGAAGGGAGGTTTGGAGTGCCCATCCCTGGAGGTGTCTGAGGAACTCCTGGAGGTGGCACTCGGAGCTCTGGGCTGGGGACAAGGTGGGGATTGGGCACAGAGTGGATTCCATGATCCTGGCGGGTTTTTTCCAACCTCAACGCTCCCGTGATTCCGCACAGTTCAGCACCGGGGGGTCGAACCGTCCGGCCATCTGGCTGGACACCGGCATCCACTCGCGGGAATGGATCACCCAAGCCACCGGTGTCTGGACGGCCAACAAGGTGACCTTGGACTCACCTGGGATGTGGGACCCCAATTCTTACCCTGCATCCCTCCACCCCTCGTCTCTGAGGCGCACCAGGGCAGCTCCTGCTCCTCTCCACGCACAGATCGCCGAGGAATATGGGCAGGACCTCTCTGTCACGGCCATCCTGGACAGCATGGACATCTTCCTGGAGATTGTCACCAACCCTGACGGCTTTGCCTTCACCCACAGCTCTGTGAGTGTGGGGACACCGTGGGGGGATGTCCCAGTGCTGTCCCCACCACGGCTGTCTGTGGTTTTTGGGTGGGATGGTGAGTGGAGATCCCTGGAGATGCTTGGCAGGGGTTGGGGCTCACATCCCCGTTCCAGTCTCCTCTCCATGTGCTCCTAGAACCGCCTGTGGCGCAAGACCAGGTCCATCACCGCCGGATCCCGCTGCGTCGGAGTGGATCCCAACCGAAATTGGGATGCTGGGTTTGGAGGTGAGACCTTGGCCACCAGGTCCCCACGCCAGGCGCTGTTTGTGCCTCAAAACATCAAAACTAGAGAGGAGAAACGCAGGGATGGAAACCCTTCCTGAGGGATCCTCTCTGGCTCTCCTCCCCCTGCTCCAGGTGTCGGCTCCAGCAGCAATCCCTGCTCTGAGATCTATCATGGCCCTCACGCCCACTCCGAGAGGGAAGTGAGAGCCATCGTGGATTTCATCCGCGCCCACGGGAACGTGAAATCCGTCATCTCCATCCACAGCTACTCCCAGATGCTGCTCTTCCCATACGGATACAGGCGGGCACCCGCACCCGACCACCAGGAAATGGTGAGATGGCCCCAGAACGTGGGGCTGTGACCACCTGGCAAAGTCAGGCAGAGCACCCCAGCAGCTTCCCTGCTCCTTTCATTAGATGCCACCCAAATATTGAACCCTTGCACCTGGGTCCTGGAGGAGGGTGGTTGAGAGATAAACCTCAAAAATTAAGAGTTTTTGGGAAAACCTGCAGCAGAAGGGATGGGAGATGATGGGCTCTAGATCCCCCTGACCCTCGATCCACCAGATCCCACCACTTTTGGTGGTTCCTTTGCAGAATGAACTGGCCAAGAAGGCCGTGAGTGACTTGGCTGCCGTGTTCGGGACAAAATACACCTACGGCAGCATCGCCAACACCATCTGTGAGTCTCCCTCCCTCATCCCGCAGCAAATCCCTCGGGAATGGGCTCCCATCTGGGCTCCTCTCCCTGCAGACATGGCAGGAGGCACCACCATCGACTGGGCCTATGACAACGGGGTGAAATATTCCTTCAGCATGGAGCTGAGGGACTCGGGGCGCTACGGATTCCTCCTACCCAGCTCCCAGATCGTCCCCACTGCCACCGAGACGTGGCCAGCGCTCCTGGACATCATGGTCCACGTCCTGGAGCATCCATACTGACCCCAGCCTCTCCCACAGCATTCCCTCCTCTCAATAAATCCGCATGGAGATTCAGTGGCTTCAGACACCCTGATTTTTTTCATGCTAAACTCCAAAAAAAGGGTGGAAAAGGACTCCCAGTCCTGCAGGTGTTGATTTTCCCCTCATGACTTTGGCTCAAAGTCCCCATCCTTTGGAGCCAACAGCCTGCATGGGAGGAGATGGGTTTTTTTGGGCAAGCAACCCCAAATTTGTGGGGTTTTGAGCAGCTTTGCTTCATCATCCCTTCCCAGGGGGCTACAAGGAGGGACGTGGGGTACCCTCAGGGTTATTTGCTGTTTATTTTTGGCTACTGGGACAACTGTCACCTGCTCTGACCTCTGTCCTGTGCCAAGCCTTACACCACGTTCCTCAGCCAAATTTTAAACCAGTTTCCCCACCACTGCGGCTTAGGGACCCAGCTCACCAAGCCCCAAGTGAAAATCTGCATTTTGCGCATTCTTGACCCAAACTGATTCTTTCCCTCCCCTCAGCCAGCACTGGAGGCTGTGGGATTTTGGCACCTGCCGGTCTCACCTTGCTGGCAGCTGACTCACCACACCCCCAGCAGGTTCACGGGACAGGTTTGGCCAGGACTGGGAGCTCCTGGAAGGGACAGCAGGGCCTGACCTTGGCTGGTGGCAGCCAGAGCCTTCCCAAGGCCCTGGGAGAAGGGACAGCTGGAGGGGCCGGGCTGGGGCCACCATCCCATGGGATTTAAGAGGCCCCAGGGTGCTGTTGGGATGCAAAAGCAGCTCTCCCCACTGACCATGAGGCTCCCCGTGCTCTTGGCTGCCCTGGTGGCAGTGGCCACCTGCACCAAGACCTTCGTTGGGTATGAGGGCCGGGATGGGAATGGTGGCACTTGGTGGGGCAGAAGGAGCTGGTTCAGCCCTGAGGGGGGACAGGGAAAAGGCTCAGGGGAAATCCCTGGAATGGGGGGGATGGATGGGTGGGGTTAGGTCAGACTAACAGGGCTGGAGTTTATCCCACACCCCCAGCACCCCCTGACCCCACAGGCACCAGGTGCTGCGCGTCATCCCCCAGAGCGATGAGGAGCTGCAGAAGGTGCAGGAGCTGCAGGACCTGGAGCATCTGCAGGTACTGGGTGTGGAGGCGGATTTTGGGGACACCCCCCACACAAAGCAAGGATGGGGCTGGATGTGGGATTATGGGAACCGAGCAGTGAAAAGCAAGACAGGCTGGTGCTGGGGGATGCATCCCAAGGCAGGATCTCACCCCTTATCTCCATTTTCCCCCACCCAGCTGGATTTCTGGCTGGCTCCCCGCAAGCTCGGACTGCCCGTGGACATCCGCGTGCCCTTCCCCAGCCTGCAGGCGGTCAAAGCCCACCTGGAGGCCACTGGGGTCTCCTATTCCATCATGATCGAGGATGTGCAGGTCAGCAGTGCTGCAGGGGAGGTGGGGGAGAGGTGGGAATCCCACCAGGGCTCATCCCACCCTTGTCCCACAGGCCCTGCTGGATGAGGAGCAGAGGGAGATGCTCCGCAGCAGCCGCCAGCTGCCGCTCGACACCACCACCTTCAACTATGACGCCTACCACACCATAGATGAGGTGAGAACGCACAAAACTTGGGGCATTTTGGGGGGAAAAAGTTTGCTCTTGGGCAGGGGGTGAGCTGGGAGTGACCCCCACACCTCTTGTTCCCAGATCTATAATTTCATGGACATGCTGGTGGCCGAGAACCCCAACCTGGTGAGCAAGTTGGAGATTGGCCGCTCGACCGAGAACCGTCCCCTCTACGTGCTCAAGGTGAGGATTTGGGGATTGTGATCCAGAGGGGAAAGTGGTGACAGGGACAAAGCCAACCCCCCCTCTCTGCTCTCTCAGTTCAGCACAGGGGGCACAAACCGCCCGGCCGTCTGGATCGACACCGGGATCCACTCCCGCGAGTGGGTGACACAGGCCAGCGGCGTCTGGTTTGCCAGGAAGGTACTGACACATCCCAGAAGGGCCACCCGGTCCTCAGGAGCTGTGGGATCCAGGTGGGTGATCCCACAGGGAAAACAGGGGAGCCCCAAACCTCCATCCTCTCTAGATTGTCCAGGATCACGCGAATAACGAAGGTGTGGCCTCCATCCTGGAGACGATGGACATCTTCCTGGAGATTGTCACCAACCCAGATGGCTATGCCTACACCCACACCACGGTACCGGCCTGGATTTCCTCTCCCTGGTTCCTACAGCTGCTCTGGATGGGGCTGGGGAGCAGGATTTGGGGCATTGCATACCCCTGAGAGGGCTCAAGGCCTCCTCACCCACGTTTCCATGGGATGGGAAGGGGACCACCACGAGCTGTGGAGCTCCAGCCCCGGGCACCAGCTGAGGTGGCTCTGCCCTTCCAGGACCGCATGTGGCGCAAGACCAGGTCCAGGCACTCGGGTGCCATCTGCGTCGGAGTGGACCCCAACCGCAACTGGGACGCGGGTTTTGGAGGTCAGAGCTGTCCCCTTTCATCTGTGGAGCATTTCCACTCTCCAGCTGGAGGCTCCAAAGCTATTTCTGGCTCAAAGATCCATTGCTGTCCCCTGGGGAAGAGGTGGGGTTTGCTCTCCGTGGCAGAGCTGAGAGTTTGGGCTCCACCAGGGCTTTTATGTCCCCCAGTGACAAATGAAAGTCACCATACAAATCTCTAGGAGGAGCACCAGGAGCATTCCTTAATCACCACCAAGGAGCTGAGGGGTGGGAATAACTGTTGGGCTTGGAAGCCCCAAATTCCCACTGTGTTCTCACCACCCTCTTCTCGGCAGATGCCGGAGCCAGCGCATACTCCTGCTCGGAGACGTACCACGGACCCTACCCCAACTCGGAGCCTGAGGTGAAATCCATCGTGGACTTTGTGAAGAGCCATGGCAACATCAAGGCTTTCGTCTCCATCCACAGCTATTCCCAGCTCCTGCTCTACCCCTACGGCTACACCGAGACCCCGGCACCAAACGCGCAGGAACTGGTGAGGCCCACGTGCTTTGAGGGGTTGGGATGGGCTTGAGCTCTCCTGCTGCTCCAAGGTGGAGCCACCTCTGTCCTGCATCCATTGGGAAACTGGGAAGAGCTTTGCTGCACCCAGAAAAAAGCTGTATCCCACAGGTTTTTGCTTTCTTTGGCTCATCTTTCCCCCATCCCTGTACTCCCAGCATGAGATTTCTGCTAAGGCCGTGGCCTGGGAAAGGAATTGATTGAAAAGGCATAAAAATAGCAGGAACAAAAAGGAAGGAAGGTGGTGGCTTTCCCTTTCATCTGGCAGAGGATGGAGAGGGAATTGGGCTGTGGGACATGAAGTCAGCAGGATTTATTTGGGCTCCAGGAGAGCTGCAGAGGGACTGGGGACAAGGCCTGCAGGGACAGGACACAGGGAATGGCTCCCACTGCCAGAGGGCAGCCATGGATGGGATCTTGGGAATGAGGAATTCCTGGCTGGGCTGGGATTGCCAGAGCAGCTGGGGCTGCCCCTGGATCTCTGGAATGTCCAAGAAAGGACTGGAGCACCCTGAGATCATGGCAGGTGTCCCTGGAATGAGCTTTGAGGTCCCTTCCCACCCAAACTGGTCCAGGATTCTGGGATTTGGGACACTCAGGATCCATCCCGAGGGATTTTTATGGAAAATGGGGATAGAAAAGAGAGGAAAAGGGAAGGGAGACCCTTCATGGCTTCCTGAGATTCCAAGTGAAGGCCCTGGGTCCATGAATTTCTTGGAGAGGAGATGGATCCAGTGTCAGGCTGGGAGAGCTGGGAATGTTCCCCTGGAGAGGAGAAGGATGCAGGGAGAGCTTCCAGCACATTCCAGGGCCTGAAGGGGCTCCAGGAGAGCTGCAGAGGGACTGGGGACAAGGCCTGCAGGGACAGGACACAGGGAATGGCTCCCACTGCCAGAGGGCAGCCATGGATGGGAGATTGGGAATGAGGAATTCCTGGCTGGGCTGGAATTCCCAGGGAAGCTGTATCCCACAGGTTTTTGCTTTCTTTGGCTCATCTTTCCCCCATCCCTGTATTCCCAGCACGAGATTTCTGCCAAGGCTGTGGCAGCTCTGTCCTCCCTGTACGGCACCCAGTACGAGTACGGCAGCATCATCACCACCATCTGTAAGTGCTGGGGCAGCCCCAAAATCCCCAAATCCCACAGCCATCCCTCACACCGGCCAAATATCCCACAGGATTCCTGTACAAAGCCATCAAGGCTCCGAATCCCCCCCATTTTTCCTCCCTCAGACAGAGCGAGTGGATCGACCGTCGACTGGACCTACAACCAGGGGATTAAATATTCCTTCACCTTCGAGCTGCGGGACACGGGGCGCTACGGATTCCTGCTGCCCGCCAGACAGATCGTCCCCACCGCCGAGGAGACTTGGCTGGCTCTGAAGGTCATCATGGAGCACGCCCGGGACAACATCTACTGAGCTGGGATCAGGGCTGGAGCAGCTGGAGAGAGGGAAGAAGGCAATCAGTAAATAAATGGGAAGAAGGATGAGAAAAGCTTGTGGTTGTTTTCCCTTTTTCCCCAAACTGGGTGGAAAAGCCCTTTGGGAGCTGGAGTTGGTGCCAGCACAAACAGGGTGTGCTGGGCCAGTGGCCTGGAAAAGGAATTGGTTGAAAGGGCGTGAAAATAGCAGGAACAAAAAGGAAGGAAGGTGGTGGTTTTCCCTTTCATCTGGCAGAGGATGGAAAGGGAATTGGGCTGTGGGACACGAACTCAGCAGTATTTATTTGGGCTCCAGGAGAGACTGGGGACAAGGCCTGGAGGGACAGGACACAGGGAATGGCTCCCACTGCCAGAGGGCAGCGATGGGATATTGGGAATGAGGAATTCCTGGCTGGGCTGGAATTCCCAGGGAAGTTGTGGATCCCATGGACCCCTGAAATTTTCCAGGCCAGGTTGGAAAAGGCTTGGAACAACCTGGGTTAGTGGGAGGTGTCCAGGAGTTGGAACTGGACAGGCTTTAAAGTCTCTTTCCCAGCCAAACCTTTCTTGTGTGATCCTTCCTTACCTGCTGCAATCCCTAGGGAATGAGGAGCTGAGCCCTTGCTCACTCCCAGCTTTTCCAGGCTCTCCACAGCTCTCAAAGCTGCAAATAAATCACCCAAACAGATGCCGTAATTTACATTTTATTAAATTAAACAATTAAACCTCTCAGCCTCTACGGAGTTTGACTCTGCTCCAAACAACACCAAGAGTCCAAATCCACACAAATCCATCGAGATGGTGGGAAAGCACATCCAGTCCTTGCTTTGATTCCTTGGATTTGGAGGATCTCAAACAACTCAAGCCAGTTTTGTCCAACAGTTTCACCAGGAGGTTTTCATGCAGCACGGAGCAGCCAGGGATTCTGGATCTGTCTCCCACAGCTGGATAGCAAAACCAGGATTTTAGCCAGTGCAATGACACTTCCAAGAGCTCATGGAGCTGGAAAAATCTACTCCCACAGCAGCAGGACCTAATCAGACTGAACCTGCCAGTCCTGAAATCAGTATTGTCTGATTTCACGCTCAGAGTCACAATAAAAGATAAAGGTGCTCAGGGACATTGAGTCCTAAGCTGCCCAACAGGAAATTATGTGTCATTTCTCCTAGTTTTTGTCCTTTCACCAGAATTACCTCAAAATCACCAGTGAGTTTTGGGATGTGCTGAAGATTGTCTGCTTCAAAAAGGGGAAAAAACACTGAATCCAAAAATACACACAAACCCCACAAGACCACAATAGCCAAAACCAGGACCAGACTCAGCAATGCCAGATGGAAAAACTGGAGAGCAGAATCCCTCCAAAATCACCTCCAAAGTGTCCCATAAGCAGCTCAGGAAAATCAGAGGATTCCCAGGTTATCCAGAAGCACCAATTTGAGGAAAATTGTGCTACTCATTTTCCAGGAAACCTTTACCCTGTTCAGTTCCAGATTCCAGGGCCCTGCTCTGTTTTAGGGACCCTGGTGAGGCAGCAGCAGCAAATTTTCCTTCAGCCACCCTAAACTTTAAAAAACTACTGGAAAAGGAGTCATTGGGAAAAAAAATTCCAGTTATTCTCCTCCAGCTCACCTTGGAAAAGACACAACTATTCACAAAGTGTCCACAAGCAAGCACAGCTGTCACAGCACCAGCTGGGCAATAAAATTGATTTTTATTACAAATACTTCTGTTCATTATCATAATTTATTAAAAAAAACCCCAACAAATAAGCCTTCCAGGATCTTCTCTCACTTTTGGCAAGTTGCTGAATGTCTTTAGCTCTGCTAAAACCACCAAAGTTCGTGCTCACAGATGATTTGTGGCCTGATCACCTTTATTCCATTCCATGGCTCCAGCGTGGCCCAGGAATGTTACGGACACAAATTCCTTCAGCTGGGCTAAAAACTTGATGGAACAGTTTCTACTGGTCCCAGCCTTTACTAGCAGTTTTCTCCCTCCCCTACAAAACCAGTTCTATCACCTCTGTCCTGCCCTGCACCCCAAGTGATGCCATTCCTGCTTCTAGGAAACATCATTCCAGCTGCCCAGCCTTACCCGAGCTGCCAATTCTCACCACGGCTGCTTTTCCCTGCCGATTCCTAAAACCACAAACGGGCTGCACTGCTCAGGATTCCCAAAACCTGGATGCTCATTTATTTCCAGGGCCTGTTCTGGATGCTGGTCCTGCTGTGGGAGCGGCTGCTCAGGGATCCCACGGTGTGAGCAGGGCTGGGGAGGCTGGGGTTGCTCCTCACGGATGAGAGCTTGGAATCGTGGCCTGAAACACTCCGGGAAAGGCGACCTGTGGGAAAAACAACCCTAAATCACAAACTGCTTGTCCACAAGTTGTGGCTGTCCCATCCCTGGATGTGTCCAGACAGGTTGGATGGGCTTGGAACAACCTGGGATAGGGGAAGGTGTCCCTGCCCACGGTGGGATGGATGGCTTTAAGGTCCCTTCCCACCCAACCATTCCATGGTGAGGTTGAAGCATGTTCTGGTGATGCCTTAGAATTTTAGCTTTTATATTTTTCAAATCATTAGTGCATGACTAAACTCCACATAAAAGGTTAATTAACTTAATCTGCCCTTAATGTACCTGAAGGTCTTTCATTAAATATATCCCCTTTTATTCTTTTAACTTTGCCATGATGCCTTGTGAAGACTGACCTAGAGCAGAGGCTGGACTAAAGAATGAAGCAGGGGTTTATTAAAGGATCTCCTCCATGGATCCACCTTGGGCAGCACCATAGCCCAGCCAGGGCTGCACCCAAATGAACCAAAATGGCCCCAAAATGCACGAGCGCTCCCGGGGGCTCTCCCTGGGATCAGTTCTGCTCCATTGGCACCTTGGAGTTCATTGTCCCATTCCAGCTTTAGCCCAGGCAGTCCCATCCTGCTTGTTTTTCTCTCTCCAGCCCACGGTGTTTGTGCTCCTGGGCTGAGATTTGGATCATTTGTCCTTGGTGCCCAGCTGGAGCAGGAATTGTTTTGTCTCCCTGCTCTGTGCACAGAGCTCAGCATCCCATAATATGAAGCTCAGACCCACACACTAAAGCAGATCAGAATCTGAAAATAGAAAAGCCAAACCTGAGGCCTCCCAGCCACGTCCCCAGGTGCCACATCCACAGGGCTTTGCCATCCCTGCAGGAATAGGAATTCCAGCCCTGCCTCGGGCAGCCCATCCCATGCCTGGGAACCTTTCCATGGAGGAATTGTCCCCAGCACCACCCTGAACCTCCCTGGCACTGCCCGAGGCTGCTCCCTCCTGTCCTGTCCCCTGTCCTGGCCATGGAGCTCCAGACTGACCTCGTGTTCCCTGCGGAGCTTGGCCTTCCCAGCCCCCTCTGGAGAAGGATCCAGGTGGGACCAAAGCCAAACCTGGCCCCACAAGTTGGGCTGTGCCTGGGGCCAGGGGTGCTGTGCCAATCCCACACGGATATTCCATGGACTCCAGGAGTCACACACGGGATCTGACACAACAAAACCCCAAACTTGCATCCACCTGAGGTTATGCCCATGTTTGTGCTCCTGGACTGAGATTTGGATCATTTGTCCTTGGTCCTAGCTGGAGCAGGAATTGTTTTGTCTCCCTGCTCTGTGCAGAGCTCACCATCCCATAATATGAAGCTCAGACCCACACACTAAAGCAGCTCAGAATCTGAAAAATAGAAAAGCTAAACCTGAGGCATCAGCCTGGCCCTGTGTTTGTAGGCAAGCCCAAAAAGGCAGCACTGGACTCTTACTGGCAGCATCGGAAGGAATCTGCTCCTCAGCCAGGTAATGCTTCACCTTCTGCAGATCATCTGCAGAAAACCTCCACTTGTTCTCTGCAGGCGTGGGTGGCACCCTGGGAGTCGTTCTCCTCCGGGCAGTTCCCGTGGGAGCTGCCCCCTGGCAGGACACGGGGAGCGTGCCGGTGACCAACCCCTCTGGGATCTTCTGGGCAAGGACCTTGAGGCCTGCAGGGACACAGAGCAGCTGTTTTCCCAGCTGGATGGCTCAGCAGGGACCAGTCACCAGGGACTGATGCAGCTGCAGGACCAGAGTTTGGATGGAGAAATGTGGCTGGCAGGAGAGGGGGGAATTCTGCGCCTGTGCCCTGCTCAGGTGAGATCCCACATGGAGTTTAACTCTGGGGACAACAGCAACAGGATGGGGAG